GCCTTTTGGCTAAGATCAAGTGTAGTATCTGTTCTTATCAGTTTTCGGTGGGGAAAAGAACCGTCCTTGCGGGGGATGGTTACTTAGTACTCGCTGGAGTGAAAGAGCGTGTGGGGCGGCTTCCTGTGAGAGGGGAACCGCTCAGTACATGGCTTTCTGACTGAACAGATGCGGAGCTTGGTCTGGCTCGAGGGTTCGGGGGCGGCAGAAGCCCGTGGTGTTGTGCCCCCTGGGGGGGGCGTCCCAGGGGGGCGCAGAAAGTCACATGGGTATGGGACCCCACTTGACTCACTGTGCACTTGGTCACACACCACCTTGCTTTTTCTGCACAACGCCTCTTGGACAGGCCTTATGGCTAGTCCGGGGCAATATTTTTGCACTCCGGCCCCTAAGGCCTGTCAGCGTGGTGCACTGACACTTTAGTATTATTTATTGCACTCTATGCACGATGCACGATTGATTTTTTGATTGAAACCCACAGATTGCTGAAGGTGCAGGTTCCTTCGGGGCCTATTCCTGATGTAGGGAGGAGGTTCTGTGCCTCTTACGGGGTTCTCTGCCTCCTCCCACCCAGGAAGTGGGTCTCTCTTCGGGAGAGCCCACTTGCCAAGTACTATGGGGGACCTGTTTCGGCAGGTCCCCAGAGGAAAGGTCCACCGGCCTTCGGGTTGGTGGACCATAGTATCTCAACCCCTGTCAGGAGCCTTGCGCCCCGGGGGGTCGGGAAATGGGTCCCTTCTTCGGAAGGACCTTGCACCCTTGTGCACGTTTTTGTGTGATGTGATTTCACGGTTCACTTTTTTTGTTCACAGGGGGAAGTTTGTTGAGATGCACGTCCACGGGCTTCAAAAAAAAAAAAAAATTGTACTAGCCTGACATCATGCCTCCCCCCTTTCCTGCAGCCCCCACTGTTTTCTACTGGGTCCTCTGCTCCTCTGGGGGGTCTGGAACCAGGGCAAATTGTGTCAGGATGGAGAGCGGAGTAGACCGAGAATTCCCTGATATGCTCTGTGATCAATGAAGCTGGAAGTGCTGTGATCTCAGTGCTTACTGCTTCACAGCTGTCACAAACTCGTCTGAAACAGGTAAACAGACAATCAAGCAAAATCCTGCGCTTGATTGTCTGTATTGGAGGGCAGAGGAGACTTCAGCTGTCTAAAAGACCCCTAATGTCTACATAAAGAAAACCTATCACTGTCAAATGCTTTTCACACAGAGGCTTGTTGTGATAGCAAAAGTTAAGTGAAAAAAGTAAAAAAATTAAATTTAAAACCAACCCTGCCATCCCAGCCATCTGATTAGAATTAACACATGTGCATAGAGCTTGCACATGTATGTAAACAATGAGAGAGCCCTTCCAGTAGGCTGTACAGGGCCCCATTATTCCTAATGGCGGCCCTGGGGGTATGTAATCTACAGTATATCATACAGGGGGGTGAGGCACAGTGTTTAATGGTTGGGTAACGTACTCCTAGCCAACCCAGTCTATAGCTGTGGTATATGTTACAAACATGTACACTACTTTGTAGCACTGGGGTTTGAATCATGAGCAGGACATTAGATGCATGGAGTTTGCATGACCTCCTTGTGCTTGGTGCACTCCAAAGATGCTGGTAGGTTAATGGGCTCCTCTCTATATCGGTTGTAGTGTGTGTGTGTATGTTTGCATGTTAATGTACATTATGAACAAAAGTGCTGTGTACATTTTCGGTGCTATATAATTGCTAGTTAGAAACAAATACACAGCACTGAAATCATATATACGTATATATAAAGAACATGAAAAACCTAATACTACCTCTTGTGTCCAGGGCAGAGAACACACTGGCAGACTAATCAAATTATAAGGCCAGCTACAGCTAAAACTGATATTCCAACATTATATAGCTACAGACAAACTGGATGAAACAATGACTGCAGTGAAGTCTAAGCACTGGTGTCTTCGACAGGGTCAGGATTAATTTGGGTTTCCCCTTGGAACCATGCACTCCATGCTGAGAAAGCCCCAACCTCCCCCTGGTATACTGCAGTGAATCTCACCACTGATGCTTCCAAAAAAAATAAAGATGTAGCTGGTAATACACAGTATTATCATAGCTGCAGTTTGTTGTTCTCCTCCAAAGAGGAAGAGCCTTGATTTTATGAACCCAACCCTCCACCCCCTTAACTCCCCTTCCTCGGGCACAAGGTTCCTGATAGGGGCAAAGTACCCTGGTCCACCTGGGTCAAAACCAGATAGACCCCGATCCTTAGGGCCAGCCTTGCTCCACCCCTGCTACATGTCACCTTCCAGGCAAAGGTCAGGGCTTCTTACAGATTAGAAAAGTCCCTCCCCTGAGGGATACCCAAACTACCTCCTTAAATTCCTCACCAAAGCAACATATAAATTAAAAAACTATTATATTTCCACATTTGTAAAGGGAACTTTAAGAGGTGATAAGTTTGTTCCCAGGACTTGGATATTTAGGTAGGCCTATTGGGTGGAAATTGTCCTTTGAACATAATGTAAGTAAAGTGGGCTTGCGCCATAAATGCTTTCCCTGTTGTGTTGCAGGGGACCACCTTATTTCCTCTCCTTGCATCTGCCCTATCAGACCCACAGTACTGGAAGTGGCCTTATGAGTTTAATCCGGAAAATTTCCTGGATGAGAATGGGAAGTTCTGTTCACAGGAAGCTCTGATTCCTTTCTCCGCAGGTAAGAAACAGAGAGAGAGAATCACTAATAGTGGATTCTTCTGCCTTGTTTTGTGGTCACATGGCTTCTTCTATCTGCTGCTCTCTGTTTGTTCCAGGAAAGAGGATCTGCCCAGGAGAAGGTTTGGCTCGGATGGAAATCTTCCTCTTTTTTACTGCTCTGCTCCAGAAATTCTCCTTCCAACCTGCAAACACCACCGACACGTTCAACCTGGATGTGCTCCGACGGGCCATCCGAAAAGAAGGGCTCTCTTTTAATTTAAGAGCCATTCCCAGAATGAAAAAAATGCATGGACACACAAGATAAAGACTGGAGGACATACATTAGTGGAAAATTAACATTCTCTTTTTCAGAACCTATAATGGTCATTTGATTCTGTAGACATCTCACATACTTTTGATACTGGGTTTGTTACACTCCTGGAGATAACAAGCTCTTTGAATAACCCTTATTTTTGTTTTTGACGGGTTCGTCTACCCCACCTGTAACCAAAACTTGCAGCATAAAAGAAAAATTGTGTGCGAACTGTCTTACAGATGAAGGCGGTTCAAGGGTTAACCAATGGTGGGGACAAACCACAATGTTATTTTTTTTGTAAAGAAAATGTACTTTATTTGATCAAAAACGGACATAGAAAAATTGCTGAACACAGAGCTGACAGTTTCCTGTCCAATAATTAAAACCGATGATTAGTCAAACTGACTTCAATATATTTTTTGGTTGGATATACATGCCCTTTAGTTCGCTGTACATAGATCCCTTAATGGTTATGCAGTCTATTGATTGTGTTGGGGATTTTGATACTAGGGTGCATTTAGTAACGATGGTTAATCACATCCACATGTTTTTAAGTTGATTGTAGTTTGATAATTCTTTTATTTCTTTGCTAATCCTGTATGTTGCATTTTCTTGAAAGCCGTTGCACAATTCTGTCTTGGATCGACAGTGAGTGAATCTGTGACGGTTTTCAGCAAGATTAGGATTTAGTTTGAAAAATACTTTTAATTTAAGCCAAGAGGCTCTTACGAACGTGGTTTGTGATTTGCTTAATCGTCCTTTTAAATATATCCTTTTTGGGTATAGGATCCAATTTCAAAGATATTGGAATCTATCAAGGAGAAGCCATTCTATGCCGGTTGCAGTTACTTTTATTATATTAGCTAGTGCACGTTTAGTTGCACTTGGTTCTTACTGATCATTTAGGAGATTTTACCCACCATGAGGGGTTGTATTGAAGGGTCAATCTAATTCAACAGTGATTGTAATTTAAAGTTTTTGCTAGTTCTTGTTGGAAACGAACAGCAAGTTTACTCACATGACCTCCTGGTCAGTCCTTCGACTTTCCGTTCATGGGTTTCCCCCGAGTGAAGATGTTTGTAGGTTTTAAAAAAGAGAGACTCTCAAAGACCAGTTGGATGACCCAGAGATCGCCTGCTGTACAGCCAAAAATTTTTTTTTTGCTTCTCGCCCTTTTGGCTAAGATCAAGTGTAGTATCTGTTCTTATCAGTTTTCAGGGAAGAAAGGCATCGATCCACCGGACGGGAGAGATGCTCGGTATTCCCTGATGTGATTGGTGGGTACTGGAGGGGCCTCCTTTCCTCCTGGGTTGATTCTGGTCAGGTTACGCCGAGCTTGTCCCCAGTTGTAGGCAGGAGGCTCTGACGGTGCTAATGCCTCCTGAGAGAATGGATGCGAAGCTTGGTCTGGCTGGAGGGTTGGGGGCGGCAGAAGCCCGTGGTGTTGTGCCCCCTGAGGGTGGCGTCCCAGGGGTGCTCAGAAAGTCACATGGGTATGGGACCCCACATGACTAACTGTGCACTTGGTCACACACCACATTGCAATTTTCTGCACTTTGCCTCCAAGACAGGTCTTATGGCTAGTCTGGGGCAATATTTTTGCACTCGGCCCCTAAGGCCTGTCAGAGTGGTGCACTGGCACTTTAGATTTATTTAAGCACTCTATCTACGTTTGGCACTTTTTTATTTTTAATTTTCGACCCACAGATGCTGAAGGTGCAGGTTTCTTCTGGGCCTATTCCTGACGCTGGGAGGAGATTCTGTGCCTCCTATGGGGTTCTCTGTCTCCTCCCACCCAGGAAGGGGGTTTCTCTTCGGGAGATCCCCCCTGCCTAGTACTGTGAGGGACCTGTTGCGGCCTTCGGGTTGGTGGGCCAACAGTCTCAACCCCAGTCAGGAGCCTTGCGCCCCGGGGGGTCGGGAAAGTAGGTCCCTTGTGCACGTTTTTTGTGTGCTGTGATTTCACGGTTGCATTTTATATGCTTTTCGCACTCAGTTTTAGCTGCCCGGATTTCTAGTTTGCATTTTTTGTTACATTCTTTGTAGTTAAGGAACGCCAATGCCGTCCCCTCCGTCTTATATTTTATAAATGCCGCTCTCTTGTCCTTGACGTAATAATCTTATTGTTCTGACTGCCCTAAGCTACTAAAAGGAGAAATGTGATTGGCTAGTCTGATTAACGGAATTGAGCGTACCTCTTTGACTTTCTCCTTAATCTCTTAAATAAGTAGGAGGAAAAGACGATAGAGATGAGTGCGAGAAAGAATGAAAGAAAGAGAAAAGAGGCTGAGAGAAATGTAGGTGAAGAACATAGAGAAATAGAGACAAATGAAGGTAAAAGACATAAGGTTGCAAGGTCAAACAGGGATGTTGCTAGACACGGGTGTCTGCACCAGGTCAGCAGCAACATCCATCGAGGTGCAGGATCATCCAGATTTTTTTTACTACCAAATGATATCTGCGTGAGGACCTGTGAATGCTAGCTATTCAGTATCACATAGTAGAAAGTCACTCGCACTCCAATATTGTTACACTTTGTTTGCCTGATGAAGGCATCTGCTGTCATTGGAGCACACACCTTGGGTTACATCCGGTCAGGAGTGCGAAGGGATCTACTCGAATTACTGCTGGTTATCCAGAACTGCTTTCATCCCAATACAAGTCAATGGGAATCCAAAAGCTTGAGAAGGCTTAGAAGGAGGTCAGCGGCACAACAAATGCACCTGCGAAGGACCTCTGAAATGTCTCCATATAATCTCAAATGCAAGCTAAATACACCCGAAAGTGTGATTCATTTGTTTATTGACACAAGTCCTAATTCTGTTAGTTTTACATAGTCATTTGTGGGTTACTGGCCCACAAATGACTATGCAGAGCAAAGGCGATGGCTTGGAGGGACAATAATGCTTTGTAGGCACTGTCACTATGTATGTATATAGAATATACACAATATGACCAAAGGTTTGTGACCAGCTAACCATCACAGTAACCAAGTGGCCAAAACTATGGCAACACCCCTCCAAAATGATTGCGTTCAGATGTTTCCAGTGAAAAGGACCTTTAATGTTACAGCATAGTACATTGTAGGCCAGGGGTGTCAAACACAATTTCATCGTTGGCTGCATTAGCATTATGGTTGCCTTCAAAGGGCCGGTTGTATCTGTAAGACTATATCAATGTATTAATTCTTTATCATATTAAATGATTGCCTATTACTGGTTTTAGTAAATAACTTAATAACTAGCTCTGAAAGTAGAAGTCTAGGAAAAATAATGGCAATTTGTGTAATAGTGTGGAGTCTCAGGTGACTATGCAGGTTCTTTGGTGGGCTGTGCAGACTCTCAGTTGGGCTATGTGAGGTCCATGCCACAGCATAGCCACTTCTACTCTCAGATGGCTGTGCGGGTTCTATAGTGAGCTGTGAAGACTTTTAGGTGGGCTATGTGTGGGTCTATGGTGGGCTGTGTGGAATCTCAGGTGGGCTGTTTGGGGTGTAAGGTGGGTTGTGCAGACTCTCAAGACGTTGTGTGGGGTCTTAGGAGGGCTGCGCGGTCTCACCAGGGGTCCTGGTCGGTCTCAGTGGGAGCGGACGGTGTGGATTCATGGGAAAGAGATTTGCTGTCGGCACTGTAAACAGGCGCCGCGATTCACAAGAAGGCTACCGGGACCTTGCTGGGGAAACCCTCTGGTGCTAATGCCTTCTGGTGGGAATGGAGCTGCTCTTGACAGGCCGGAGGGTTCAGGGAGCACAGAGGCCTGCAGTGCTGTGCCTCCTGGGAATGGCGTCCCAGAAAATCACTTGGGAGTGGGGCCCCACTTTGATTCACCGTCACTTGGTCATGGCACCCAAAGTATTTTCTGCACTAGCCTCTTGGTCAAGCCTTTTTCCTAGCTCAGGGCAGATTTTGATCTAGCCTGCAAGGTCTGCCAGGGTTGTGCACTGGCACCTTATTTATTTTACGCACTTTTTGTATGCACGATTGAGCACCTTTTGACCCCACAGAAGACGTAGGGTGCAGGTACCTTCGGGGAGGATTGTGGGAGGCGCTCACAATTCTGCCCTGCTAACATGAATAGGTTAAATCATGATCCATAGTACATATACAGCACACACGTCCAGTACACTGCAGTAATAGAGTTACAATTATCCCCTGCTAACATGAATAGGTTAAATGATCCATAGTACATAATAGTACATAACATGTAGTTGAACTACGGATCCTTTAACCTATCCATGTTAGCAGGATAGAATTGTAAATCTATTGCTGCAGTGAATTGGGAATGTGTACAGTACATATAGAATACACTGCAGCAACGAGGTGCCGGCCAGCTAAATTAAGACTCCACCTGGAGCTCCTCGCACCGGACCAGCTCTGACTCGCCGCTGCTCTCCGGCACTGAAGGACCTCGTCAGCACTGGGCTGAAGAGGAGCGTCGCGTCACTGCTGCTCCGGTGGGCGGCACTCCGAGTGGGGTCCTCTGGGCAGTCGCCGGCCACCTAAATTAGGACCCCACCTGGAGCGCCGCCCATCGGAGCAGCAGTGACGCGATGCTCGGCAAGATCCGTAAAAAACCCCAAAAAACAAGTACTTGTCAAAATACCCTGTATCGGGCCCGATTCCGATGCTTGTTTCGATATCGGGACATCCCTAAAAACAACATATACAAAGCCTATATACACAACATATATACAATATACAGTATATCAAGTCTGATGTGCTTTTCATAAGTTTATGCTGAGTGATGGTACCGCGGTTGGCAGTAAGCAGTGCCGGACCTAAGGAACAAAGGGCCTTGGTGCAAGATTTTTTTTTGGGCCCCCCCAAAAAAACACAAACTCCCTAATTCACACCCCCTAAAGCAACCACAAAAAAATAAAGTTGAAAAAAATCGATAGATTTGAGCATATTTATTTATTACAGAGAAATGTGAGCACTGTGTCAATGTAAGCAAATTTAACAATAAAATAAATATGCTATAAAACAAAACAAGATATAACATTTTGTTCAGAACAGTAGTATATTATTGGTTGGTTATGACTTGTTTCTTAACTGAATTTTACTCTTCTTGCTTTTCGCTCAGCAAATTCATCA